ACGATAATCGCAGGTTTGAATTGTAATTGTTAATTTAGGTGACTGTGGATTGCATAAATTATCTGATCATTTTTTTGGCGCTATGTTTCGTTCCATGTGATTGCATATATTACCGATTTTTTTCGCCAAATGTATTTTTTAGATGATGGTACAAGTATGTTTGAGCAGACACCATTAATTTACCAATATCCTGTTATCTCACGTATGCGTTTCATTATAAGAGGGAAGGGGCGGCCGGGTAGCACAGTGGTTAAAGCGTTCCCTGACCCGGGTTCGATTCCCGACATGGGTACAATGTGTGAAGCCCATTTCTGGTGTCGCCCGCCGTGATATTGCTGGGATAGTGCTAAAACCGGCGTGAAACCATACTTACTCACTCACTTATAAGAGGGAGCTAAAGTTTGTCTTCTAGTTGTTGCCTTCACGGTGGCAATGAGTTTTCATTCAAATTATCATTTCAGGTTTTATCGGACCGCTCGTGTAAGGCTGTCCGTATTTTTGTCTGCTTCCTTTCGTCAGCCGGCGATGTTGAAATGTTTGCCCCGATGTGATAAAAAATATACTCCTAACCATTGCACACTCATAAACAACCCAGGTCATTTTCAGCAGCTATATTTATTACAAATTTATTTCCGAAGCAAAGCCACTCCACCTCCGTCATAAATTAATTTAAAGACAGGTGCAAAGTGTTATAAACTTTACCATGTCATAAAATAATTTACAAAATTAGTGAAAAAAACATTTGTTTTATTTATGATACAGTAAACTACGGTTATAACGAACACGCTTATGACGAACTGATGGATATAACGAATTTATTTTTTGGTCCCGGCCATTGCTGTATAGTTGCTGTATATATGCTTATAACGAACTACGGTCATAACGAAATAAAATTAGCAGTCCCTTCGAGTTCGTTTTAATCGTAGTTTACTGTATTACATAAACACAAAACCAAATATGGATGGCCTAATTCCAGTGTGGAAGGATCAAGTCACTCCCTTAGGAGCCCAGCAATCCCCATTTACAGGATGAAACACTTCCCAGGATGAAAATACCGTCCTTATAATTTCTGCGGACAGCGCCCACTTAAATTCTTTATCATACATTTTGGATATGATTATATATAAAATCAAACTTCAACAAAAACTATTCTAACAATATAAATAATAGCATCTGTTCTTAGGAAAACACTATGTATTGTTTTAGCGGAAGAACTCTCCTCGGCGCTAATATGTGGTGCTATTTGGTGTGTGATTGGATTAATGTAAGGTTGGATTAAGGTGAGGATTCTCTTGTAAACAGAACACATTTTCTTCATATATAAATCAACTGATGCTTGAGAGGAGGGGGGTGTCGCATTCATAGTGAGTCGCATCTTTGGCTAGGGACCAGCGGTCGCATTCGTTTGGAGACGCATTAATTTCACGATTTACGGTAACTTATACAGGTATTTATGGGCATGGGTTTTTCATATATCGGGATGTCGAGAATCGTCTTGTAAAAAATGGAGGATTCCACTTCTAATAACCTTTAACAGGTGTGTGCAATGGTGCTTAAATTGTTTTATTCCACTAAGAAATGATAATTTATTATGGTCGGTATTTCATCTTGTTTGTTGAAATATATTTCAGTTATTCTAACAGTGACTCGAATACATTATATTTCCTTTAACGTTGATTCCTCAAATGGACCCAAAATACGAATTTATATTACCGATACTGAACACATTAAAATGTCATGTCCTGTAAACGATATGATTCTGCGGCATAAACTGGCAAATGTGACAAGTTGAAACATAAGCTCAATGAAACTATTAAATATGTGTGCCTAAGTTACCCCTTAATTTAAATTAAAAGCCATACACTTCTAGATACTAGTATATAAAACCTGTCAACAAAAGTATAGTACCACAGAATGATCTTTAAAACCAGTTTTAACATACCGCCGTTCAAAAGTGCAAGATATATGGCCCAGTCGTCTAAGGCGCCGCGATTCGCTGTGCAGAGTTGCGTCCCTTGGGCACGCCAGAAACCTATGATTCCGGTTCGCCCAATTATGTTTCTAGGTTTGTCAATTATGTTTGCTCGTGGGTTTCACCGAAGTGGTAAACGTCTGAGACCTGCATCACTTGGGGCTTTCCTCCCACATTAAGCTGACACGCCGCGATATAACTGAAATACCTTTAAAAGCGGCGTTCAACCCAACTCACTCACTAACGCAATACGGTTAATCTGCAGCAGGGGCCCTGGCACGTCGATACAAAAACATAAAGTTTTTCTATAAAAATGTGCTGCGTATTCTTCATTTGTCATGTTTTGTTCCGAATATACGCGCCGGAAGTGGAGCGTTGTTCGGGGAAAAAACTCGGATTAAGTTTCCTAAGGCGTTTGTGATACGAATCCACTATCTCAAGTAGGAAAAAAAGCAACAAATTCTTTCAATACCAGAAATTTCGAAACAATAAACTGTAAATAATTAGAAAACAAATAAAACGGTATATGTTCTTTATAACTGAATATACGTGAATCCCAACCCCGACACTGAAGTGAATACAAACGTGTCAAACAATTATTATTTTAAGTTTCAAAGGAGGTGAGGTTATATGATGTTTAACGTCGCGTCTAATATTCTTGCATTTATATGTGCATACACGTGCGTGACTGTGTGTTTGTGGCTTCTTATACAAGTCCATTCCAACTCGGGTTCTTGAGCAATTAAGTGCCCTAATTTTGAAAGCGACGTTAGACCCCATTTCGCCCCACCTTATTGAGCTTGCCACATGCATTGTCACAAATGCGATCAAGGACTAATAAATTACTGATCACATATTTAAGCTAGTGATGGTAAAGTTTACACTTTTTTATAGGTTTTAATATTAACACACACACACACACACACACACACACAGACACACACACACACACACACACACACACACACACACACAATGGCTTGTTCACCGTCACTCTTTGTATGTAAGATCTTTGAACCAACCTTCCCGTGATTGTTTAGCAATTTGTGAATTTTAGTATTTCCTTGTTCAGTCAGCGTGACTGAATTGAGACTAGTCGATTGAGACTAGTTGATATTCAGACGTACTGGCCCATTTTTATGCATGTCATCGTCTCCCCATTGCGTAGATCGATGCTCATGATGTCAGTCATTGGATTGTCTTGTCCAAACTCGATTATACTCTTCACAAATAGAAACGCAAAGCCGGATTTGTGTGAGGTAGGAAAATACATTTGTACGGGGAACCGTACAAGGCACTGAGCCCAAATGTTGGGGAGAGAACTCTTGCTGATTGTAGTCATCTCAGTTATCGGTACATAGGAACAGTCCAAGGTGAAAGTCAGCTGGCATCAATAACGCACATGTCCCCCGTTTGAATCGATAGCGGCCTGACATCTCCTGTCCATGGAAGACGAGTATGCGAATCACTTCCTGGGGTTTGGTTGCCCACTCGCCCTGCAACGCAAAAGCCAACTTCTTCAACGTCTGGGGTTGTGGTTGACGTCGGCGAAGCCGTCAATTCAATTCATCCCACAGGTGCTCTATAGGGTTCAAATCCGGGGATCTGGAGGGCGAGGGGAGAACATCAACGTTGTTGTGTAGACAGGCTCTTGTGATCCGTGCTGTATGCGGTCGAGCTTTGTCCTGCTGGAATACACCGTTGCCGTTGGCTGCAATTGGGAGAACGTGTGGTAGGAGAATTTCGTTGATGTATCGTAGAGTCGTAGGATTGCCCTGGATATGGACCAAACCTGTCCTGCCATGATGAGAGAAAGCCGCCAAAATCATACCGCTATCCCAACCAAACCTGTCCACTTCCTGTACGCAGTTTCCGGCGTAACGTTCTGCCCGACGTCCGTAGACCAGTGCTCTTCCATCACCTCGATGGAGGGGAAATCTTGATTCGTCGCTGAACCAGACATCTCCAATGCAGTTGTTGTTGCAGATGTTGTCGACTCAATATGACACGTCGAACAGGACGTCTTGCTCGTAGACCTGCTCTCTTAAACGGTTTCGTACGATCTGGTCGGAGATTCTGCGCAGTCCGGGTATTTGGGATGCGGTTGAGGTGGCTGTGGTCGTCCTTTCACGTAGGTGACCCAGTCGGGTGTAGCGATCTTGGGTGGGGGTGGTTACTCTTGGTCGTGCCGATCTCGGCCGATCACGTGTTGACCCATGCTGTTGAAACCGATCCCATTCCCTTGTGATGGTGCTGGGCGCTACATTGAAAACCCCGGCAACAGCTGATCGGGATTCCCCTGCATGCAAGCCGCCAATGTTTCTTTGCACTTCTGTTATTCTTGGCATGTTGTTAAACTGTCACTGTTCGATTGACGCATATGCCAGACAATAAAAAACCCTGCACTTAAATACCGTTCATAGCGCTGCTGCACGTGCAGAACATGCATCTCTTTGTTTAATGCACTGTGTGCGTTTTTCCGATAAATAATTTGCATTTGTCTTTGTTGTGATCATTTTGATCCGGGGAATTCGTCACTGACACTATAACACATTAAACCTCTTCATTTTGCACCTCTTGGTCCGCTAATTCTGCCTTTATGGCCAAAAATATTCGTATTGCGTTGTTGTTTTTTTAAGAGTATATTTACTGACCGACGTCATACAGCTGGGATATTGCTGAGTGCGTTAAACAACAAATGTCACCATAGTTAGAATTTACCCATGTCATTATCTAGTGACCGCTCTGGTCCCTGGCTTTATTTTCGGCACCGCTCGGCAAAGTCCGGCGGTCGTCGTGGTACGGTGTCCGTACATTCTGTGTCAGAGAATTAGTAGCCCAACTATTTCATTCTATTGTGATCTAATGGCACTCTCAAACCGTGTATTGACTAGATGTATGTTATCTCTTATATGTTCGCTACTTTATTCACTACCATGTTTTTGTAGCGATGATTTTAAAACATGAGGGGAATTAATATGTACACTCATATATGTTTCATGTATTGATGATTATTTTTGCCTCCTCAATAATTGTACATAGCTTGTTGTATATCCTTGAGGATGCTGTTGCATAGCTTGTGTTCAGCGCTTTATTAACTTACATCTTTAGTATGAATATAGTAGTTGCTATTCGTGTTTTCCCGTGTTTAGAAACACATGTACATATTGTATAAGCTTCACAGTCTGTTGTATCCCGCGGCGGTCTAGGAGAGATTGGCCGCCCCGACGTCCGCGTGCTGTATATTTATACCTTAAACTAAACTTAGTTACTGGGGTTTGTTATACTCCGTTTTTCTAGCAATCCGTGGATAACCAACCTATCAGTGATTGTCTAGATACTTAGTAACTGGGGTTTCCAATACTCCGTTTTTCTAGCAATCCGTGGATAACCAACCTATCAGTGATTGTCTAGATACTTAGTAACTGGGGTTTCCAATACTCCGTTTTTCTAGCAATCCGTGGATAACCAACCTATCAGTGATTGTCTAGATACTTAGTAACTAGGGTTTCCAATACTCCGTTTTTCTAGCAATCCGTGGATAACCAACCTATCAGTGATTGTCTAGATACTTAGTAACTGGGGTTTCCAATACTCCGTTTTTCTACCAATCCGTGGATAACCAACCTATCAGTGATTGTCTAGATACTTAGTAACTGGGGTTTCCAATACTCAGTTTTGGCTATCTATTTTGGCATTGTGGCTTAGGCGGCCTGTAACCGTCAGCGCAGATTTGGCTTATCTGATCTTTTATTGTCATCCATTAGTACAATTAGCTGTTATTAATGAACCTGTGAACCTGTTACCACGTTTTCATTATTACTTTATTCTTGTTTATGACACCCTTTTGATCATTGGAGCACTGCTCCGTGACAACCAACAAACAAAATCTTAATTTTCAAAATATTTTGACTGAAATGCAAATACAGTTTGTGTTAATGTTTAGATTCCTTAAGCCTCTTGACAAGCAGTATACCTTTTCATTTCTAAGAGTAAAAGTTGTTCCCTTTGAAACAAAAATCATGTTTAAGGAAACATGAACATAGCATTTGTACTCACAGTGTAAGGACTTGTGTTCCTCTCCTCCAAATCCAAATCAGCTATATGGCAACCTGTTTGAGTGGAGAGTGAGAGGCCTGGCAGCTGTTATATTTAACTCCCTCGCCGGTCATGATGGCCCGATAATTGTCATACCAAGGTCAGCCGATGAGCTAGCGCGCGTGTTCGCCAATGCTGCACGAGAAAAAAATGACACGCGCACTAATCCTTCCTGAAAACAGACTTGTAACAGTAATAAGGTAAATAAACCCTGGTTTATTAAAGAATGCAGATTAATAATAATAATATAATAATAATAATAATAATAATTATTATTATTATTAATGTGTCATGTGTACATAATACACCTGGCCATTACTGGCCTAAAAGACACCTAAAATTATACAATCAATAAAATACATAAATAAAACATAACTAATAATATCTTCATATGTATACAGCAACCCACCTCCCCCTTTTTTTAATGCGTAAAAAAACTAAAAAAGTAATCTAAAATCAGAAAACTCTTCAGGAAATTTGGAACCGAAAGGAATAGATTACATTATCGTCAAGTCGCAAAGAATTATGAAAAAATGTCTCTCAAGACAAATTAATAAACACAAACACGAAACTAGCACCCAAGTAAGGAGAAAAGCTAAAGCTTCCCAAAAAGTTCTGGGAAATATTGAACGGGAAAGACGACAACACTGTGTTGGTCCTATCCCGGATGGAAACAGATTTTACGATGTTTTAAAAGACATCAATTCTATATTATATAATGATGATGAGTTAATAGACGTTACTGAACCAGATAACTATGACAATAATTTACTGAATAAAGTTATATCATTGGAAAAAATAAAAGAGGGAATTAGATCTTTGAAGCGACAGAAAGCCTGTGGGTTAGATTTGATGGATAATAGTTATTTGATTGACGCATTTGTGTTGCTAGGGCCCCTACTCAGCATCACATTTCAGTCTTGTATTTACCAGGGGTATTTTTTATTCATCACGCATGGTCAGCTGGTATTATTAAGCCTATATACAAGGGAAAGGGTGACACGCTAGACCCTGCTTCTTATCGACCAATCACAATACTGAGTTGTCTTTGTAAGCTATTTACTGGTATTCACTAGATTCACTAACTAAACTGACGTCCGAAAAAGTGAAAAACACGTGCACCACGGACAACTGCAAATGCACGTGCGGGTAAGGGTATAAAACGATTGCAACGGCAAGTCAGACATCCACAGTGGTAAAAAACACACAAAAGAAATGCCACGACTTACAGTCGAACAACGTGAACGAGCCTTTGGTATGGTACAGATGGGAGCCACCCACGCCCATATTGCACGAACCTTCGGTTGCTCCCGTGTTGCCGTTACAAACTTGATGCAACGTTACAGACAGACAGGGCGGACCGCTGACAGGCCAAGAACAGGCAGACCCAGGGTGACCACGCCCAATGATGACCGGTACTTGCGTACCTTGCACCTCCGAAATCGCTTCCTGACAGTGACGTCATCGGCGACACATACCTTAGGTCTCAGGGTTAGTCGACAGACAGTGGCCAGGAGACTCAGGGCGCATGGAGTCAGGGCTTTTAGACCATACAGAGGACAGCTATTGACAGCGCAACATCGTCGTCTGCGATTGAGATGGGCCCGGACTGTACGACGTTGGCAACGACGTGACTGGCAGAGGGTTGTTTTCACTGACGAAAGTCGATTCTGTATGTTTAGGGCTGATCGAAGACAACGTGTTTACCGCCGAAGGGGTGAACTGTGGGCGGGAGAGGACACCGCTGGTCGGAAACTTGACAGCTCAGCGTTACATGGATAACATTCTTCGTCCAGTTGTCCTACCATTTCTCCAACAGCAGCCATGTGGTGTCATTTATCAGCATGACAAAAATTAGAGCCCATACAGCCAGAATTGTCACTAACTTCCTCGCAGCCAATAACGTCAACGTCCTGCCGTGGCCTGCACCCTCACCCGAAATGTCCCCCATAGAACACCTCTGGGACTTGATGGATCGTCGTGTTCGACAACGCCTACACTCTCAAGCCAACCGGCAAGAACTGATCTTGGCCGTCCAAGAAGAATGGCGTCAAATCCCACGTGACCTCATCAAACGACTGACTTTTTCTGTGCGTCGAAGAGTTTTGGCGTGTATTGAGGCATTTGGTGGTCACACACGCTACTAATGACTTGTTATTGAACGTGAGCGATTGTTTATGTACTCTGCCCATTGTCCATGATTCTGAAAGCCCGAGTTTTGTACCACACCCAACTTTGGGGGGCTCTGACGTCATTCTCGGTCGCGGTATGATTGTCATTTTCAGTGTTGATTATGTTGATATATTGATCTTCTCAATACACTTTACTTCATGCATGTATGTTTTGTTGTTTTTTGAGCAAGAGTGATTTCAAACTCTGGTAAAGTTTCTTTTGGACGTCAGTTTATTTAAATGTGAATAACATATTATCGCCAGCCCAAGCTGGATTTCGTAAGGGCTTTTCTACAATTGACAATATTTTTGTTTTGAATATGCTAATAAATATACTAAAAAATATTGAAGAAAAATTGTATTTAGCACGCATTGACTTTTCAAAAGCTTTTGAGAATGTTTGGAGGGTGGGTATCTGGTCAAAATTGTTAAATTCTGGAATGACGAGTATTCTTTTACTCCAGTTAAAAACATGTACAGTGACATTAAGTCATGTGTTCAAATAGGCGAACACACCTATAGTGTCTTCTCAAGTTACACTGAAGTTCGCAAAGGAGAAAAATTATCTCCCTTACTATTTTCAATATTACTTAACGAGCTCGAGTCGTGGTGATCGAAAACTGTCGACAAGGTGTCAAGTTAACGTTGACCGAGGAAACATTGACTCTTTGTGAACAATTTCTGTTACTTCTGTACGCTGACGACATAGTTCTATTTGTTACCGATCCTTGATCTCTGGAAACTTCTTTATTATATTGTCGAAAATGGAAACTACAGTTCTTGTTTTTGGCATTGGTACCACAAAGAGAAACCTCGCCCCCTTCATTTTCGACAAACGCTAGACTTCTATGATTATTTAGGCATACAATTCATTAAAAATGGAAATTTGGACTTGTCGTCAAATCGAGAATGCCACAAAAACGTATGTAATGTCTCCTGAAGAAATCCCGAAATAACAATCTCCAAACTCGAATGTATTATTAAAGCATTTGATGTTATGGTGTTTGGGGATTTGAATGTTTAAATATGGTTGAAAAAGTTTATTCAGTAAGAGGCGACTAACGGGATCAGGGGGTCAGGCTCGCTGACTTGGTTGATGCATGTCATCGATCCCATTTGCGTGGATCGATGCGCATGATGTCAATCACTGGATTGTCTGGTGGAGACTCGATTATTTACTGAAATCAAATATAGGTATATATGTAAAAAAATAACTTCACAGGCTGCTTATTTCATCATTTACATCACAAAAAAGTAAGACAACGATACGACATCATTTGGACTGAGTTCTTTAAACCATATACACCTTCTATTTTATTTTATTACCCGTGAAGACCCGGGCAGAGAATAGGTCTTCAGCACCCCATGCTTGCCGTAAAGGGCGACTAACGGGATCGGATGGTCAGGCTCGTTGACTTGGTTGATGCATGTCATCGTATCCTAAATTCGTGGGTCGTCGCTCATGATGTCAATCACTAGTTTGTCTGGTCCAGACTCGATTAGTTACAGACCGCCGTCATATAGCTTGAATATTGCTGAGTGCGGCGTTAAACAGCAAAGAAACAAACTATATTATTTTGTGTTTCCCATTTCAATGTATGAATGAAATTTTATTACAAATCTCTGTTGGAAAATAAACTTGATGAGGTATCTCATATATCGAGATATGTGATGGAATGGTTCTATTAAATTAATAAGTAACAGCGGACCCATGAAGATCCGGGGTAGAATAGGTCTCCAACAACCCATGCTTGCTGAAAAAAGGCGACTATGCTTGTTGAAAGGGTGACTAACGGGATCGGGTGGTCAGGCTCGCTGACTTGGTTGATGCATGTCATCGGTTATATCCCATTAGTTAGACGTCCCATTAGTTAGACGTCCCAATTGTTAGATATGATTATTTAGGCAAAGAGGGAATATACCTACAGGTGTAATGGATCAGCTTAGGATTAGTGTTCACTCAACCGTTTAAAGTGTTGTTATAAGCTGTCTAACTATTGGGACGTCTAACTAATGGGAGGACACCATGTCATCGTATCCCTATTGCGTGGATCGATGCTCATGAAGCCAGTCACTGGATTGTTTGGTCCAAACTCGATTAATTACAGACCGACGTCATATAGCTGGAATATTGCTGAGCTAGAAGATTGCACGCGTCCGCAGTGGAGAGAAGAGGTAGCATATTTCAGTTTTGGAGTCAAGACCACGTGACATTGCTCACTTCCACCTTGGTCACTGTCGCGCTTGCTATTTAATAAGATGATTATTTTTTAATAGAGTTAGCTATATTTCGGCTCGCCACGGCGACATGGAAGAAATAATTACTTACTAATAGTTTATCCGCTCATGAAGTCTGAAATATGTGGTTTATGATGAACGTTTTATGTTTAAGTATGCAGTGTATGAACGTGTGAATTGGAAGCTTTTCGATCAAAGAAACGAACACACAGAAAAGTAATTACTCGTATCTTGATCAGGAAATGTTTGCTCATAATAAGCCCATCAACATAGGCAAGTATTATTTAGGTTATAAATTATTCCTGTCTGAATTGCATATCTGCCCCGGGACTCGTTAGAATCGCTAGCGAGCGGGGTGCACGTGAGAACTATTTCACTTGTATCACACAGGGCAGACTTATTATACACAGTGTTCTCACAGAAAAGTGAGTGAGTGAGGTTTTACGCTGCTTTTAGAAATATTCCAGCAATATCACGGCAGGGGATACCAGAAATGGGCTTCACATATTGTTCCCATGTCGGGAATCGAACCCGGGTCTTCGGCGAACGCTTAAACCACTAGGCCACCCGACCTCCCCTCACAGTAAAGCATAGCTTTCTTGAAATATGTTTTTGAAAACGGCTTTTAAAAATATACTTCTAAATCGGTTATCAAAAATATATTTTCATGAAAACGGTTATCAAAACAATGTTGTTTAAT